AAGGCTACTATTGGGACATGTTTCTGGACGGTGAAAAGATCAACACCCGAGAAAAGACATCGTCGGCCAACTGCGAGCCACGAGTGATGCTCGACATTCTCCAGGAAGACTTTGACCAAGAAAACGCCCAGGGTTTGCTGTTCTGCATGTGTGCCAGGTCCAAGAATGAGGGTTGTGCAGCTATGTACATACTACTTCTCAAGGTGGTTCAAGGAGAGAGAGGAACGTTCCAGCGTATTGGGCTTGCCCATGCCTGGAGTACGAAAGTTAAGGAAAGAGTTCTAATGAGGAGCCCGGGAGAAGCACGGTTTCCATGTCTCGAGTATCGAGATGGACTGCACTCGATATCTATCATCTAGATAGGTTCAGCCTCAGACGTCCTTGCCATAGTCCTATCACCTGCTAAATCTCAATAAAACAGGCAACGGCCATGCCATCGTTGATCAAAATGCCCAAAATCCTGCTCCTGGGAAGGTAAAAGAGGAAGAGTCCAAGGAACCAATGGGAGTAAGAAGACGGGCTTTTCTGATGCCCAGGGAGACGACGAGGTCGTCAACATCGCTATCTTGTACTTTTCTCCTACACCGTCTTGGCTCAGGGTCTAGGGCTGATTCATTTGTCGATTGGTCAATCTCTCTTCCTGTCAAGATTCGCTGTGCCGCCCGACTGCGCCTCAAGATTTCATATTGCATAACATTGAGGCAAACAAACGCTTGGCTGTCTTGGTACAGCCTCACCAGGCTGATTGTCAGCCCCTCCAAGGGTGTCCTTAGATACCTTGGCATAATCTAAATGCAGGTGGGCTTTTAATGTCATGGTAGGACCATTGCTGTGTTCTCTGATATTATGCCCGATAACAACAACAATAGTAAAACGCATAATAGGGGTGTGATCTTACTGGAAATTAGACTCTCACTACATATCATGTCGTCTTTATTTCACCCAAGGGTTTTCAGTAAGGCATAATGTATATATCAGTTGAACAACTCAGTCCTTCAGCTGCGCCTCCGCCGCCTGCAGCCACATAAGACATTTTCATCACCTGACTCTGATCAAACAAGGCTCTCATAAATAACCCATCTCTTTGAACCCGACGTTCCGTTTCTTCTGTGCTTCAACCTCACCAGCGGATCCAATAAACTGACCTTCAAATCATGGCAGAATCAACAGATCCCACAACAGTGTTACCCAATCTTTACCACCCTCTTGATGTAAACACACAAGAACTACGTCTCCTCGAAATCTGCCCATCTGAAGTCAGCAGCTCGCCAATCCAAGTGAAAATCTTTCCTCGACGATTTGAAGATGTGCGAGGCCAGTTCATACCTTTCTCGTATGTCTGGGGCGATCCAATAGACACCGAGACCATCATCATCAACGAGATCCCCAGAAAGATCCCCAAGAATCTATCCCTTTTCTTACGGCAGATACGGGCTTTTCTCCCCGATATCCTTGCAGAGATTCCTTGGGAGAAGCCCGCGCTCTTCTGGGCCGACTCGATATGCATCAACCAGGATGATACAGAGGAACGTAACCACCAAGTCCGGCTCATGAGTTCCATATACGGCACTGCTCCAGCGGTCCTTTCCTGGCTTGGGCACACCGAAGACTCAGATTTGGCGCTCGACATCCCCGACGCCTGTGTTAGATGGTTATATGCCTGCAAGGAGAGGAACCCAGAATGGGCCGGACCTGGGAGTTGGGATCCAAACTTTGACGGTTGGATGGAACGATGTCCACAATTTTGGGAATTCTTTGAATATTTTGGGGAAACGAACCCATACTGGGAAGCCCTTCGGACACTGCTCGAATTACCGTATTGGAAGCGCACCTGGATATTCCAAGAGATAACACTGCCGGCTGCCACTTTCCTCATGTATGGATCAGCCTTAATCAAGACACCTTCTTTGGTAGCGCTCCATATATGGCTGTCGGAATTTGCCATCAGACCAGCATCAAATTTCCCCTTCCTAGGCCAAGGGAATTACCACAAGTTACTCATAACGGTACGACATACTATCACTAGTGTCTATGAATCGTTTATACGAGCAGACAAAGCAAAGCAACAGTTAGCCGACCAACAACGACCGACACTCGCTCTCGTGCCAATCTTGGGCTCCCTTCGTGCGAGTGACCCACGAGATAAAATATTCGGCCTCCTAGGTGTGATGGACACGCAGTTGGTTGCGGACTACCAAAAACCCGTTGTCCAAGTTTACTGCGAATTTGTCTCGGCTTGGATGCGCGAGGTCCAGGATCTCAACTTTCTATTGGATGCCTACCGCATGCCTCACATGCAGAGGTCGACGGGAGAACCTGGGCTGCCTTCATGGGCTCCAGACTGGGGTGGCACATCCTGGGCTTTGAATCTGGCCCGCGAAACGCCTGGTACAGCATTCCCCATGGGATATAAGTTGCGATCGATGAGCCTCAAAGCATCTACACATCTGATTACCAACTCTGCGTACATGAGCCAATCTTCTCGCATCTTGACCGCCACTGGGGTGGTATGTGACGAAGTGGAGGTGGTATACCCGCCCTGGAAGAATTCAGAAGACGCATTGGCCATTGGGGACAGCTTTTTTGATCTTGTACAGAGATACACGGATCGTGTCAGGCTCAGGGGATATGACCACTCGAGAAGGCACATATTACAAATCCTCCTCCGGATTGCTCTTGGAGATAAATCTTTTCTAGGCGGGTGGGTGCCTCTTCTACACTCTGACGCAACAGAAATCCACACGTGGGGGATTTGTTTTCTTCTTTACCTGGCGATAGGTTACTTCCTTCACAACAGGCCGCCGGGACTGCGGCCTAACGACCTCGCAGTAGCTTTCCTCTCCCGGCTGAATATCTCGCATGGATCAGAGTTCTCACGCTTCTGGAGGGAAGAGATCTTTGGTAATGTTAAGTCGGAGGAGCTTGAGGACCCGGAGGTGGCTCATTGGGAAGATGGTACAGACGCGTTCCGGTGGGCGTGGGAGAACCACAGAGCCAAGATCGAGCACGTTCAACTGGAGTCGCTCTACCATCTCACCCGTAATGTAAAGTTTCTCACAAAGAGCAACTACATAGGCGTGGCAAGTTCTGCCGAGGTAGGAGACAAGGTTGTCGTGCTGGGTGGCTGCGGCGCCCCAATGCTCCTGAGGCCAAAGGACGGTCATTACGAGCATATCGGGCCATGTTTCGTGCTCGGCCTCATGGGTGGGAAGGCAAAGGAAATGGTAGACCGAGGAGAGGCGAAGCTTGAGAGGTTCGAAATCCATTAGCGACCGAACAGGCACGAAAAGTCCGGAGGAGCCAAGGCTCATATTTTTATCGTCTCGTCAAGCAGCAAGATTCTTATAAATCAACAAAATTAGCGCATCTGATACCGATCTTGATTAGGCCGTATTGAATGAAGGATGAGAAACCAGTCACTAAGACGAGCCAGGGGAAGCAAAGGCAGGCAAGAATTACTAGGGAACTTCAACTTGAGGCAAAGATGTAGCGGCTTGGCACTCCAGAGGCAGCCAACTCAAGTATTTACTCGAGGTCCGGCAATCTGTTCAAGCCCGCTGAATTACATGAAGCTACCAAAAGGCGCATCCGGGCGCCATGTGCAGCCTGCAAAGGCCGCAGGCTAGGTGACGGTCCGAGAAGTAGGCGGGGGCCGTTGTGCGAGACTGACGGGAATAGCTTCAAGCGGAGGAATTACACGTGTGGCTTATTGCGTGGATTGCAAGGTTGCAATTTGAACGCACGGAAATTGACGGTACTTCAATCATAGGCTAAATTGAGTGGGCGGATAAGTTACTTTCATTTCTACGCGTCGATTGGCCAAACACCTGTACAAAAGCTGTACCAAAAGGCGCTCAAGAGATGCCCTGGGCCCCAGACCCAGCCGCAGCTCCATTCTCAAACCGTCTCAACGGCAACATAGAGGCCGTGAGCCACCACCTGTCGAAAAAATATTTTTCCAGCACCGCTGATCTCGGATCTCGCGGGTTGCTGACAATTAGGACTTTACCATCAGACTGGTCCAGGGCTGGCCGACTTCATCTATCTCAACCTCCAACAGCAGGTCAAAAAGATAGGACAGCCCCAGGCGATGCCAGCAAAGAGTCCATCCATAGACAGTCGCTACTTTCACTAATACGAACACACGCCCCCAAACTAGCATACCTTGGAGGTCGTCGCAGTCCCAGAGACGCACTCCCGTCAAGTGACTGGTTGAGTCTTCGGGCTCTGCCCCGTCCAGAGCCATCCAGAAATAAACTTGGGAGTGTTCCAACTTCTTGTCGAGAAGACTCATCTTCTCATCGTTAGACTCAGGCACTCCCGGCGTGTGAAGATGGCCAATGGAGGTTTACGGAAGAGGCGCTAGCAATGGTCTTTGAATCCATCGACACTCTCCTTCGTGAGATCCTCAAGGAGGCACATAATCATTGAGACAGGCAGGCATTACTGAGCAAAGGTGAGCCACGAATGATACCCCCAATGCTCACAAGGAAAACTACGAACACCAAAACGCTGGAGGGGTACTATGCTCGATATATCCCAGGTCCATGGATGGGAATGGAAGAGGTAGATGTATGCCTTTACAGAGGGTTCAAGATATACAGGAGGGTGCTGCGCACCAAGAGCAAATTCACCAATATAATCTAGAAGCAGAGCACTGGTCCTCACGACTGCTAGGAATACTTATCTCATCATCTCAAATAAAGGAAACAGGCCATTCATCGGTAGAACAGAAGTTTATCCTACTACCTCACAAAATGCAAGACCCACGTCGACAATCTTAGGAAAAGCCACGATGCAACGATTTCTGACCGGGTATATATCTGTCTCTAGCTGGGTCGAGGAGTTCTGGCTGGTGTGCGCACTGCAAGTAAAACGAGCCAAGGTAACAAAAATGCGAAATGTTTGCACTCTACAAGCAAAAATGGAAAACCAACTCGATCGGACCAGATGAATTGCTCATTGACCAAATCTCACCTACACAAGGAAAAAAAAAGATGTCCCTCCCCCAGGGATCGGACCCGGGACTCCCGAAGACCTGTTAGATGTCCTCTGACAGTCGGACGTTTTGCCAACTAGACTAGAGAGGGATTTGTTGTGTTTTGTTGGGGTCTGGCGCTCGGTCCGTCGGTTATATGGGGTCAAGATCAGTTGGGAAGGGGGAGTTGAGGAAGGAAGGAAGTGTGGTCGTCGGTCCATGTAGAAGGAAGCGAGGTTATATAGAAGGAAGGTGCAGAGTGGGCCAGGTGAGTGAGGTGCCGTGGTGGGGCCAGGTGGGTCAATCACGGCCGATGGACCCACTAGGTACGTACCTCCACAAGACACGGCAGAGGTACGTACCTAAGGGAGGCTTCCTCACCACCGAGGTTCCAAAGGTCCGACGCCTAACCAAGGGAATTCAAGACGCTGGTCTTCTTCGCCTTGTGTCTACCTATGCAATGAGCAAGAAGGTGATGAACGAGAACAATTGGGTGTTTTCTCTCACGAGTCTCCTGTCGCGTGCCCCTGTGATAAGGATGATCAGAAACTCGCTTGCAAGGGTGCACAGGTCACTGGAGTTGAGAGCTCAGAGAGCGTGAGGAGAAGCAGCAAGATAAAAAAAAAAGAGGGGGGGTAAAAGAATAAGACAAGTAAGAACCCAGTTAGAAGAAATAGATACCCCGTAGATTGAGCAAAAAAAGTTCCCAGACCCCGGAATCGAACCGGGAACTGCGACCCCCCGAAGGGACTACTTCCGCCGTGCAAGCATCCGTAGCTGTCATACCGCATGTGTTGCCATTAAACCAGTCTGGGCTCTCCTTGTTAAGGGAAAAAAAAAAAGGAAAACTGGCATATATGCAGAGGGTGACATCTGATTAGATTGGGGAAAAAGTTAATAAAAAAAAAAGATATTTCCCAGACCCCGGAATCGAACCGAGAACTGCGGCCCCCCGAAGGGACTACTTCCGCCGTGCAAGCATCCGTAGCTGTCATACCGCATGTGTTGCCATTACACCAATCTGGGTGCTCCTTGTTTTGTTGGGTGGTGTGGTAAAAAGAATCGCTGATAAGGGAATGAGACATCATAGGCATTCGCCTTGCTAGCCTCTTCCAGAATTCGGTCGGTTCTCTTTCGCTCGTTCGCTCGTTCGGGCCATCGCTTGGCAGTATTTCGTCGAGAGAGGATACAGGTCAGGAATTTTCCAACATGGGGGCCTCGCCAGCTTTTATACCTTGGGGACAAGACCGAGCTAACCAGGATGTGGTTGCAAGCCAACACATGCCTCCCCTCTCCATCCCCACCAAATGATCAGCCATGAGTGGACAAGTATGTAGGTAGTCAGTCCGCAGTGCCCCATGCAGCCATGCAATCTCAGACGTAACATTGCGCGCATTGATTGGGGGCTTGTTAAACAGAACACGACCCAGGCTGCGGTTGGTCGAACCAAACCGTCCACGACTGGAGGAAAGTGATCACGTACTGTGGAGAAAAGAAACACACCAAGCCTAATGATAATTATACAGAGTCCAGCCAAGTTACCATTTGTTTTCCCTCATGGTCGCTTCTCCTAGGCTAACCGATGTCGCCCTTGAAAGGCTCCGATGGCGGTACAGTAAAAATCGGGAGATTTAGTTACATCGTAGAACGGCGGCATGGGGGGTGGGAGGTGTTGGACGGAATGACTCAGCTCCAGGCTTTCTTGTTTGGTGTTGTCGCGCAGGTGTACAGCAGACAACTCCAGCCTACGAAGCACACTGAACCTGGAATATTGAGTCATCTCTTGGTTAGCCAGAGCCTTTCAGTTGAGGTGACATGTTCCAGTGCTTGCTCATATTGTCTGTTGCCTTGAGTTCAAACTGAATACAGACTGATTGCAGTAACATCATCGGCCGTCCTCCTCTGCCTCGCGACAATCTAAACTCAAAGGAAACAAAAGAAACAAGTCACTTCCAATTTGTTATCGCGAGCTGACAAGACAAGCCAGAACAGAATAGCCAATATGTACTCCATATACGCCTTTCATGATAGCTTCGTTGCTCGTTTGGTAGGTAGGTAATCAGTGCAAATCTACTGGGCAGTCTTGATTGAGTAATGCTCCACAGGAGATTTTACCTTCCTTCCTGCCTTACGTAATCCGGCAAGGCGCCTCATCCACAGTTGAATCGGTTGCTCGGAAAACAATCACCTCACGAGATAAACCGGCCGTTCGACCCTCTTATCCACGAAACGACGAGTCTATCCGCCCGCACGAGGGAGACACGGTAGCGAGACGATCCGAGAAGTTCAATTGACCGATCCCCGACGCCGAAGAGCGAACCGTTTGCCCGCCATGCCTCAGGATATGCCCCCTCGGGGCGGGTACGAGCCCGTCCAGTACAAGGTGCGTTGGGAGAGAAGAGTTGGAAGAGTGGTGTTTTGAGGTGCTCTGGATGGATGGTCTTCGTTTGGATGCGCAATTGGGACGTTCAGGCTGGCGAAATGGGCTTAAAGACTCCCCGACGATGCGAACGAACCGGGTCCTGAACCTCAAGAGCTGGATACACAAGGAAACGGAACAATTAGTCCCAGACAAATGCTGACTCTCAGCAGCGAAACCTCCCCGCCAAGGGTTTCCGCCCCGGAATCCTCCTCCTCGGCATGGGTGCCGTCATGGGCTACGGCTGGTACAAGCTGATCCACGGCATGCGAGAGGCGAAGTACGTTTCCTTGGCTCGACTACAACAAGAAACATCACAGGTTTACTAACCCTCAACAGTGAGCTCGCCCGTGAAAAGATGTGGGCCCGCATCAACCTCATCCCCCTCCTCCAGGCCGAAGAGGACCGCGACCAAGTGCGACGATACCTGGCTGACCAGAAGCGCGAGAAGGAGCTGCTGGGCGATAATGCCAAGGTCTACCACAGCGACCGGTAAGCACTCCTCTCTTTAAACATACAATTTTGTAGCTAACATGTTCAGATTCGTGCGGCCGACTTTTGCCGTCGTTCCCCCTCCTACCACAAACTAGACGAACCGAGGGTATGGAAAGGTGTAAAGAGAAGAGATGGCTGTGTTTTTGGGCCAATGTGTGTATATATGTATCTGACAATGAGTGGTTTTGCTACGGCCACCGGAATTGAGGGAAGATCAAGGCATTGAGTTTATTGTGACGACCGACTTACCGACAAGCTTGAGCAAGACTTGATATTGAAGATCAACTAACAACTTGACAAACTGACATTAAAGGAAACAACTACTTAACTTGACAAACTTTCAGACCCAGTATTACCGACTCAACTATCCTCCCTCCGGCATCGACCTCGACAACATAGACTCAACTGCACAACCATAACCACCACTCACCCTCAACTCACCAGCTCCCTACTCAACCATACAACGTTCACTCAAACCTCGACAGCAAAACCAACCACATCTATTAACCCTCAACCTTGCTCATCTCCTTCTCCGTCCACTCCCACAACTCCCTCCCAACCCCCTCATCAAAACACATCCCATCCCCTCCATTCCCCTTCCCAACAGGCAAATACAACGCGACCTTCCCCTTCTCCTCTTCAACCTTCTCCCTACTCCCAACGCCCGCCGCAGCCCAAACAGTATTATAACCCCCCTGCTCAACAGTCATCATAGTAGGGTTCGTAACATACACAAACATCCTCTTCCAGAAACTCAGATCCGTGACTAGTTTGGTGGGTATCACGCCTGGGTGGACTACCACGCTTGTGATTTTTGAGTGGCGGCGGTGGAGTTCGCGGGCGAATACAATGTTGGCGAATTTGCTTTGGCCGTAACGACCCCATGTTCCCATGAACATGTCTTCTTGGGTTGTGTGCAACGTAGCAAAGTCGACGCCGTTCTTGGGATGACCTCTGTATCCCAAAGACGTAACAGATACGAAACGGACATCTGCATTGGGCAGTTCTGCAGTTTTGAGCATTACAGGCAAAAGATGCATAAGTAGTGCTGCATTTCCAAGATGATTGACGCCAAACTGCATCTCTACACCATCCTTTGTAAGGCCAGCGTCAACGGCCATGATACCAGCGTTGGCGATGAAAATGTCAAGTCTATCATGTCGAAATTTGGTTGATGCAGCACGGATGCTAGACAATGATGTGAGGTCACATTCGAGAAATGTTGTTTCGACGGGTGGTGAGAGGGACTTGAGGGATTCAAGAAGGGATGTTGCTGAAGAGGCGGAGCGGCCGGTGAAGTAGATGTGTGAGGGGTTGTGTGCTGCGAGTGTGAGGATTGCAGATTTTCCAAGGCCAGCGGTTCCTATGGTTTGTTAGACAATAAATCACCAGATCAAAGCAGGGTGTCAAGAGTTTGTGAAGTATGGGAGAGTGTCAACTCACCACCAGTGACAAGAATGACCTTTCCAGAGAGGTCAGCCACGTCCTTTTCAGGATCGAAGCCACAGTAAGAAGGCATGTTGTTTTACAAGTCTTGAATAACTGAGAAAAGAACAAAAGTGTGTCTGTAGAGTGAAGATGTAGCTGCAGTGATGGTGTCTTGCATTCACCACCTTGGCAGCAACAGGAACAGAAGCCCTCTTTATACCCAAGCAGCCGTCCATCTCCGTCGGAAAGACGATGCTCCTTGTTTTCCTCGCTTACATACCAAAAACGCCCAATCCGTCGTGTTTTTACAGTCCGACTTGAGATGAGGCGGCATGATAATCGACCGACGCTCACCGGGATACTACACTAAGATTTACTATCGCGAATATTAGCTGGAAGCATGCAAGCCCGTTAGTGCGGGATAGAGGTCAATCCCTAGCTGCCCCACTTCGACACGGCCAAATCTCCCCGGCCGAGTCAAACTTGAAGCGCCTCCTTTCAAGATTAGCAAGCCTCAAATCCTATGACGACGACAATTTGAGCCTGATAGACCCCAGGGCCATCATCAACCTGTGATATCCCTCTGCATCCATAGATCACTCATCAATATGGTCACAAGATGGCATCAAATCGCTTCATTCCCATGCCTCAAGGGGGGTATTGTAAATAGATACACTAGATGCTGGATACACAAAATATCAACTCCCTCGCCTTTCCCCCCATATACAGTTCCTTCTAAACCACCCTCTTTTAAACTAAAGAATGCCCCG